AGAGGAGGTGTGGACAGGCAGATACAGGTGTACAGGTGTGGACGGGCAGATAGAGGTGTGGACAGGCAGGGTGTGGACAGGCAGATACAGTGTGGACAGGCAGATACAGGTGTGGACAGGTGTGTGGAAAGGCAGGGACAGGTGTGGACAGGCAGGGACAGGTGTGGACAGGCAGATAGAGGTGTGGACAGGCAGATACAGGTGTGGACAGGCAGGGACAGGTGTGGACAGGCAGGTACAGGTGTGGACAGGCAGATACAGGTGTGGACAGGCAGGGACAGGTGTGGACAGGCAGGTACAGGTGTGGACAGGCAGATAGAGGTGTGGACAGGCAGATAGAGGTGTGGACAGGCAGATAGAGGTGTGGACAGGCAGATACAGGTGTGGACAGGCAGGGACAGGTGTGGACAGGCAGGTACAGGTGTGGACAGGCAGATAGAGGTGTGGACAGGCAGATACAGGTGTGGACAGGCAGATAGAGGTGTGGACAGGCAGATAGAGGTGTGGACAGGCAGATACAGGTGTGGACAGGCAGATAGAGGTGTGGACAGGCAGATACAGGTGTGGACAGGTGTGGAAAGGCAGGGACAGGTGTGGACAGGCAGGGACAGGTGTGTAAATAAAGTCACAGGTATAAATAGCTCAAAAGGTGGATCCCATCAACTTGACTAGCCAGTTTGGGCCAAGATATAACGCACTGTAGTCTAAGCTTACCAGTATACAGGGTCTACAGCGTGACCGACACTACCTACACTCTACCAACTTGTAAACAGAGGTACCTATTTACATCTAGGTGGACTGTAAGTGCCCCCGGGGATCGAACTAGCGACCCTGAAAATAGGAGTCGAGCGCTATATCCCACTCAACCACTGCACTCTATAAAAGCTAGAGTATTATGGAACGAAATTTTAATACTATTGAAGTAGCTACGTGAGAATAGAGAAACTAGATGAATGAAAGACCTACAGAGACAGGAAGTAAGAGAGAGAGAGAGATAGAGAGAGAAAGAGAGATAGAGAGAGAGAGATGGAGAGAGAGAGAGAGAGAGAGAGAGAGAGAGAGAGAGAGAATCAATGAATTAGACCAGTTTCTCTCCTCTTGTGGATGGGGTATTTTCAATTTCAGTTTGAGATGTGTGCAAATATTGTTGAGTTCTGGGAAGAGGAGGAGGAGAATGAGGGGGGGAAGAAAGGAAGAGGAAGAGGTAGGGGTTAAGGAGGAGGTAGAGGTAGAGAAAGGAGGATGACGGGAGGAGGGGCGGGAAGGAGGAGTAGGAAGAAGAGGAGGAGGAAGGGGGATATTTTAACAAAACATAATCCTATATTGAACCCAGAAATTCCCGGGGATGAAATATTCTCAAGGAAAAAAAATATGAGTGATAAGAGAGATATCGTTCTACTTTTGTATTGTTATCGTTTTGGCGTTTCTCTCCGTTTAATATTTAGGAGAGAACTGATGGAGGGAGAGAGAGGGAGAGGGAGATTCGGGGCTTATTTAAGGAATTTTTATCTCTTTTCGATCTGTTCTGAGGTTTTATAGAACTTGATCCTCTATTGTTGTGTTGTGGAAGATAAATCGGTTCCAATAGTCTATAGTATAAGGGGTTGGATCTGATAGCTTTTAGTAAGGGGTTGGAACAACGCTTTTGTTATTTCCGTGTCAATATTTATCTTTTTTATGTTCTGAGAAGGATTTATAGAACGTGATCGTCTATTGTTTTGTTATGGACGACGAATAGGTTCCAATAGTCAGTATAAAGGGTTGGATCTGATCGCTTTTGTTTTCTCCGTGTGAGCGTTGTAGCGTACTGTCTTGTGGCCACTAGTCAATTATCTTTAGATGTCTATTACCTCTTTGTATGGCCACACAACGTACGTACATGTTGATATCTCACACTCAGGAATGAGGTAGAATAGAAACTCACGATGCGTTTTCTGTATGTATATTGTTGTACAGAGTAGTGCTAAGGAGTGACTAGGTGAGGTGTAGCTTGCTCAGAGGTCCTGTAGGGCGAGGAGCTCTCTGAGGAAGGTGGGTGGTGAGGCGCTGGGGAGAGATCTTGCTGGTCCTGCAGGTCAGAGTAGAATGGTCTCCCCATGATGATGATGATAATGATAATGGAGATAAAATGGCAATGGCTTGCCATGGGAAGGGAGAGAAGAGGTAAGGTAGAAGGAAAGTTATGAAACGGGAAGTAAAGTACTAGAGAATAAGAGCAGGTGGGCTATCCACCTAGCAGAGACGATTTGATTGGCTGTGGCGAAGGCCGCACTAAGAGGTCGCCCGAGCTCGAGGGAACAGGGGGGGAGGAGGCTAAGCTAGCTAGCAAGGGGTTGTTAGTTATTGTGTTAGTTGGAGAGGTCTGCTAGGTCCTTGTGTAACTAGTAGAATACTCTCATCTTTTGATTACTGTTTGGTGTACAGTAATTCTGGCTCTTGAGGGTTATGGAGAAGGCTTTTTGGCCACCAGCTGTGTGATCTTGTGGTGTCCTCTGTTTTTAGTCGATTATATATTTCGTCTTCCATGACTTCTAGTTTGTGCCATACAGCCTGTGCTTGGCTGTATGTTCTTATGTTGTAGTAAAATGTTGTAATTTTCGTGAAGCTCTTTAATTTTGGTTGTGTATGGGGGACGTTGTTTGGAGGCTCTGCGGATGGCTTTGTCTTGTGTTGCCTGGAGTTTTAATTGGTTGGTAAGGCTGATCGTGTTTAATGGTATTGGCGGGTATTCAAGATGGGGGCGTACAAATGCTTTAAATAGGTGTAGTTGTATTTTCTCTTCCATTTTGCCGAATCTTCTTAATTTGGTAAGCTGTATTTGGGCTAGTCTATTGCGCTCTGTTGTGTTTATTTATTCCGGTTCTTGTTATTGTTAGCCCCAGTATTTTTCCTTCGTTTGAGTATTGTATTTCTTCGTTGTTTACTGTGATTGGTGCTGGGTTTATCCTTGAAATGTGTATTATTTTTAGTTTCTGTGTATTAGTTTTTATTTTCCATTTCTTCTCGTAATTATTTATTTGTATTATGGCGCGAGCTGTTTTTAATGCCATCATCTGTTTGGCCTTGCCTGGATGGCGGATGATCTGGGTGACATCATCAGCATATGCGATGTATTCACCGTGAATTGGTGGCGGCATGTCTGAGGTGTAGATTGTGTAAAGAGTTGGGGATAAATTACTTCCTTGTGGTACTCCACTATAAAGTCTGAAGCTTGGGCCTTTGTGATTGCCTATTATAATGTGTGCTTCTCTATTGTCCAAGAAATTACACAGTAGGGAAGTGAAGTTGTTAGGGCCGTATTTATACAATTTACGAGGATCAGGATTTGAGGTGAGCGTAGCGAGAGGGCCAATCACAGAGGAGGAGGCCAAGCACACCCGGCACTTTGGTCCTAGCGTTGCTACGTGTGCGTCCGCGCTGGAGAGTAGATCTACAGGCACCGCTGGCTGTACGCTGATTGGCTGGTAGGCGCGCGGGGGGCTCAGTCGTCCCTTGTAGGGGATGGAGTCCACTACAGAGTCTCTTCCCCGTAGATCAAAACTTTTATTGTCGCCAGGAATATTTTCTCTCCGTTCGTCTTGGAAAGGAATTAAGAACTTTTTTAATTATTTGGGTAAGGAAATTGTCTTGTTTATTGGCTTGGGATTTTCTTCATTTGCTTTCGATAATTTTTCCTGATTTTTCGACCAAACTTATGTCTTTACTGAGTTTGATTTAATATTGAAATGTCTCTTTTCGTGTTGGTTGTTGCTCTTGTTGTTGTTGGTTGTTGTTCTTGTTATTGGTTGTTGTTATACTATTATTATTACTGTGATTCAACAACTAAGGTTTTAAAGTTTGGTTAATAATTGCACCTGTCCATAAACAATTAAAGATTATAAGAAGTTCAACTCTATTATCATGTTGGTGTTTTATTTTTTATTCAGTGTTATGTAGGGGAGGGTTCCATGACAAAACCCCAACGGGGTTGTCATTTTGTCAACACCAACCTAATCTAACCTAAACAAAAAAAGTGTTTTATTTTATATTTTATATATGAGACTGGGGTTTTGTCCGTTGGGGATTTATCCGGTCACCGCAGAGGAGAATGGCACTAAACTTAGTGTTATGTAAAGAGGAATGGCACTTAATTCAGTTTAATGAAGGGAGAGTGGATTTTAATCCACTGTTATGTAAAGGGGAATGGAGCGTAAGTCAATGTTATATTGAAGAGAATAACACTTAATTTGGTGTTAGGTAAAAGGAAATGACACATAATTCAGTGTTATAAAGAAGATAATAACAATTTAATGTTATGTAAAAGGGAATGAGACATAATTCAGTGTTATAAAGAAGAGAATGACACATAATTCAATATAATATACGAGAGAATGGAGCTTAGTCCTGCATATAAACTACACGGGTGGCTATAGCGTATACAGATGGCCGCTGGTGAAGCATTGTACGCGGGCTTAGGGTGTTGACGGGAAACACATCAGTGGAGGTTGTATAAAGTATTCCAGATTGTATTGAATGAGGACATAAGGCTTTGTTCCTCTGTGTGTGTGTGTATGTTTACTTTTTCTTGCATGTGCACGTGTATGTTCACTTAGCATGTGTCTATTAATGTTGTTTGTGTTTTTCACTTCTGTTATTGTGAGTCTTTATGTTTAATGACTGAAGTTTGTTTTAAGCATTTTATTTACCTTATTGTGTGTTTGTTTGTATGTTTTATGTATTTGGTGTCTCCAGACTTGCATGTTTGTGCGTGTGTGTGTGTGTGCGCCCTCGCTCCAAAATGTATCTTAAACGATTTTGTGAGACATTATGCCACAGTGGACGAAGGATTTTGACACTCCTACCGAGACAACAGGAGTCAGTGTTCATTTTGAAATCCATTGATCCTCTCCGTGAAGATACTTTTTGGAGCGATTATAAAAGTTATTCAGATTATATAGCACTGATAGTTTTCTTAATACAGTATACATATGAAATTTATGTTATTGTTTTTTTACCCACAGCCGCCCCTGCCAGCCCCCCCTGAGTCCTGCAGTCCCCCAGCCCCACCCCCCATGGCTTCTCCCCCAGCAGCCCAGCCCCCACCACCCCTGGGTCAGCAGCAGCAGCTGCAGCAGCCACCCCAGGTACCCCCGCACATGACCCAGGCTCACCTGGTGGTGCAGCATCAGCACCATCCACAGCAGCAACAACAACAGCAGCACCATCAACAACAACAGCTGCAGCACCCACAACATCAGCAACAACAGCACCCACAACATCAGCAACAACAGCACCCACAACATCATCAGCACCCACAACAACAACATGCGCAGCAGCAGCAGCATCTCCAACAACAACACCCACAACAGCACCCACAGCAGCAGCAAGTCCCACAACATCAACACCCACAGCATCAACAGCACCCACAACAACAGTATCAGCAGCAGCAGCAACAGCATCAGCAGCAGTATCAACAGCATTACCAGCAACAGCAGCAACAGCAGCATCACCTAACTCAGCCCAACCCACAGATACACATCCTTCGCGGAAACTCTCTGGTAAGTTATTGACTGTGACGTCGTGTTCCCTTATACCAAGTACTGTACTGTTGTATAAGTCTTACACGACGCTAGTTTTAATACAATTTTACTGAAAGATATACCACGTCATGATAAAACATTAACTTCAATCTCCTTTAGTAAAAGTAACCTTACGTGTGACGTATACCAGTTCTTCGTCATTCCTCAAATTATTGTCTCCCATTCATGAAGACTAGCAGTTATATCTTGTGTTTACATTCAACATAAACGTATATCATACTCTAACATCATCCTTAATACTAAAACTCCTCAGATTATCTTACAGGAAGATTATAAAGAAGTAAAACGGTGTTATAGTGAAAATTAATCGTGTTTCATGGTGTATATGGGTTTTACTGTACGTTAACTCTTCCTTCCCAGTTATATTGTTTACATACGAGACTCAGACCACAATACTCCGTGCACCAGTATGTTTGATGATACAGAAGACGCTACACAGTCATATTAACTTACTTTAGATAATATAAATAACAATAAGATAAAGACCACTCATTCCCCTGACCACTGGATGTATGACCGTTGTCTTGGTGACTGTAGCAAAGTCATACAAGATGTCACCAGGAGTTGCTAGCGTAGTCATAAGATCACGTTAACACAAGATAGAATTTAGGATAAGGGGTGTAACGGGTAACTAAATTATCCTATTATCCTTGTTATATTATCTATACTATATATATATACAGTATATTTGTACAGCAAATTACATCCATTAATCCATTTACATATCATTAATTAATTTTTTCAGACGTATATAATGAGGGTGACTAGCTGACAGGTCCCTTGTCACTGTAAAATTATTGAATATATGAGAATCAAATTTTAAGAGGAATAACTTTTAGTACTGGAGTTAGAGTCAGTTGATTTGTCACACGCGGGTTGATGGCCTAGTTGATTAGTGAGTGGGATACTGAGTGGGATAGTGAGAGGGGTACTGAGTGGGGAACGATTGAGTTACTGAGAGGTATTGAGGTAATGAGTGAGTTATTGAGATAATGAGTGAGGTATTGAGTAAGGTATTAAGGTAATTAGTGAGGTATTGAGGTAATGGGTGAAGTATTGAGATAATGAGTGAGGTGTTGAGGTATTGAGTAAGGTATTAAGGTACTTAGTGAGGCATTGAGGTAATGGGTGAGGTATTGAGATAATGAGTGAGGTGTTGAGGTATTGAGTAAGGTATTAAGGTAATTAGTGAGGTATTGAGGTAATGGGTGAGGTATTGAGATAATGAGTGAGGTGTTGAGGTATTGAGATAATGAGTGAGGTGTTGAGGTATTGAGATAATGAGTGAGGTGTTGAGGTATTGAGTAAGGTATTAAGGTAATTAGTGAGGTATTGAGGTAATGGGTGAGGTATTGGGAGGTTCACTGTACACTAGAGCCAAGCTTATTGAGTTAGGTTAGGTTATATTTGGTTAGGTTAGGTTTCACTATATTACAGTACCATGTGTCCTAATCAGTCCTTCTTAACATTTATGGAGATGAAAACTCCGTTATATCAAAGGGTCCGTTAAATATAAACCCCCATCTAACGGATTATATAGAGAAAAATCCATTATAGGGAAGTCTTTCTATAATTTAAACATTTCTATAACTCTTCGTTCTCGTATCATACGTTTAGTTTCCCGGTTTAATCTATCACTAAAATTAAACGGCATCAACTCTCCTTCACGTTACAAATCATTCTAATTAAACCATAGAACCGGACAAGAATCATAGTACCCTGTAATATGTTTTGTTTTTTCCAGTGACGCTAATAAAATAATCCCAGTGACTCCAATGTTTTATCTCAATATTTTAGAACGACGAAAATCTCCTAAACATTCATCTTCGTTGACAGTTTGGTATATTTTACTTTAATTAAGACTCCGATATCATTAATACCTTGATATCCTGAATTAACACCTTGATATGTTAAATCTTAAGTAATAATAATAATTCATGTTAATAAGATAGACAGCGCCGAAGTGAAATGTTATTAGTCAGTAAACAAATCCTAGTCCTCACCGTTTTCGAATCATTGTTAAGTGTTCGTTTAAGTAACTATTACACTGCAGCCTGATCTTGAGTTAGAGTTTGATAGGTAATGCTGCATTTTCGTGATAATTTGTAAGTTTATTTATTATGATAAGTTTTTTGTATGGTGTGTTGTTTAATATATGATCATTTTTGTCGGAATAAATTGCAAAGTTTACTCCTACCCCTTCCTACTTATCCTTCTCATTCTCCTCCCTATTCTTCTTCTTCTTTCTTCCTTTTTCACTTCTTTATCATGTTCTATTTTCATGTCTCTTTGTCTTTATTTTTCGTCATTATCTTCTTTACTCTTCAACTTTCCTACTTTACACTACTACTACTACTACTGTTACTACCACCACCAGTACTCCTACCACAACTACTATTATCACTACTACTTTATTCCTGTTCTTCATTTTTGTTTTCTTCTTTATTCTTTCCTCTTCATTTACTGTTTCTTCTGATACTATCACTACTACTACCACCACCAGTACTCCTACCACAACTACCACTATTATCACTACTACTACATGGTGTGTGTGTGTCGCTACAGGAGAGCAGCCCGGGCCGTAGTGGGGACTCAGCAGTGGTGATGGGGGAGGTGCCACGACACTCCGACTCCTCCTCCACCGCTTCTTCCGTCAGCCCACCCGACAAGCGCTGTGACTCTGGTATTCACTCCCAGGCATCCTACTCCTCATCCTCAGCCTCGCACTCTAAGTCAGGATCCTCTGGGTCAGAAAGCTGCGTGCCTATCCCACCAGCGGGGCCTCCTCGCTGCTCCAGTGTCGATGACCTGTGCCGGACACAACCACCGCCGCCGCCTCCTGAGTCATGTGTAAAGAGCCTCTCCTTGCAGAGGAGCGCCGTACCTCCCGCTATACCTCCTTCTAACCACGGCACTGGCCCCGCCCCTGCTGCCAACAATGCCCCAGGGAAGGCTGGACGATTGAATATAGAAGTAGTGGGAGGAGGCTACGGCTTCTTGCCACCTTCCAAGTTTGTGGCGTCAGAACCTGTGTACAGTGACGCTTCCACACCTGTAGTGATCAAGCGACGGAGTTCAGTGACTGCAGTAGAGCCTGACACACCCCCATATGAACGCTCAGGCTCCTCTTTCAGCACATTCACGGAGCCTCAGCTACCAAGAGCAGTTCTGAAGGGTAACCCATATGCTGCCGCCAAGTCCCAGACCGTGGCAGCCCATGGGCTCCGTGCACGACGGCTGCCTGCAGCCGACGCCAAGCACGCCACCATCGCCGGGGTCGTGCCCCCCAAGGGCTTCCATCAGCCGGGCCACATCGACTCGCGCTACTTCTCTGTGCCCGCCGTCAAGCCGCCAGGTACCCGTGTGCACCCGGCGCCCACTCCCACCCTCTCCTATCGCACCCCCTCCCTCCACTAACTCTCACGCCCGTAAGTCATTCAGGCCCACACCCGCATGTCTCCCTTAACCAAACAAAATAACTCACACCATTTGACCTCTCAGTGTGACGCCTACACTGCCCAGGCCGCCAGCATCCTTCACCTCACACACTACTCTTCCACTGCATCATTTAGTCCAATATTGTTCCCTTTATCACACCTCCACAGTCTTGTATGTCAGGGCACTCAACCTTGTGAGCAGTCCACACCCTGCTGCCCCCCTCTCTCGCCACCCACCAACCAGTACAGTACATCTCTCCCAGACCTAACACGTCATCATCAACCAGAGTAACAGCTGGCATTCTCACACACTCATACATAACACTGCTGACATACACACCACAACACCATGACACCATAAGATCATGACATCACAACACCACACCACAACACAACACCACACCACAACACCATCACGCCACATCACCACAGCACCACACAACAACATCACACTCTAACACCACAATACCATAAAGCACTATACCAAAAACATAACACCTAACACTATCATCACACAACACCATCTCACCATACTGGCACTATATCAGCACCCCTCACCATCTTCACTGTAGTACATCATAATATACCCTCCCCCCCTCATCACCATCATCACAACACAACACCCAAACCATCACAACACCCACCATCATCACCACACAGCACCCAAACCATCCCAACACTCACCATCATCACCGCACAACACCCAAACCATCCCAACACTCACCATCATCACCACACAACACCCAAACCATCACAACACTCACCATCATCACCACACAACACCCAAACCATCACAACACCCACCATCATCACCGCACAACACCCAAACCATCACAACACCCACCATCATCACCGCACAACACCCAAACCATCCCAACACTCACCATCATCACCACACAACACCCAAACCATCCCAACACCCACCATCATCACCACACAACACCCAAACCATCACAACACCCACCATCATCACCACACAACACCTTAAACAAAACAGTCAGCATTCCTCCAACCTCTCTCTCTGTATGCATGTAAGTCAATCTGTTTGTTCAGTCCCCATTATCACAGTACCATTTCTTATCTCTGGGTCTAATTTTTGGGCTCTTTTTCTGTGTTTTTTTCTTGTGTTTGAGTCGTAGAGGTGTATTGCATGGGCTAATTATCATAGTTATATTTAGTCCCTTTGTAATTTTAAATCACTAAAGGTAATTATAGGCCCCTTACCCCACCCCCCCTCCCTCCCCTTCACTATAATCTCATTAATTGAATCATCTTTTGTTAATCCTGAGTTTTTGTTTTTTTTTGCTTTTCTTTTGTTTGTTTTTTCTCCTCAGAGTTAATATATCATATTCTAGGTATATAATTAATCATAGACGACCCCAGGCAGATTAATTATTATTTAGAGTACTTCTTGGATTATAGGTACTCGTGTCTCTTCTTACTGTACTCTAAGTTTAGGTACTCGTGAGCGGCCATCTTTTGTGTCCTCTAGTAGGTACAGGTGTTCCGAAATGTTCTTAATACAGTACTGTAATCTATAGAGCACAGTTAATAAGAAAATACTGTATACTTACCCGAGTCTCATAACTAATGGTATTGTTTGTCAGTGTTGTTGATTCTGACAAACTCTCGGTGTCTGTTTAGCCTTTGTGTATAGTACCACCAGTTAGTAGTCGGTAAACAGCATTGATATACCCGGTAATTACTTCTCTATATATTAATGTTGTCTTAATTAACACTCCCACCAGTCATTACTTCTCAGACATTTTGACGAGAGTATTAAAACTGCGGCAGGTTCAGGTCAGGTCATGGTCAGAATAGTTGGTCAATGCCACCAGTTGTTATGAGTCTTATATCTCACGAATACTTCTGGTCAAAGAGCTCTAGGAGTTGTGTGTGCCTGGTGATGGTAGGTTTTAGGGGTTGTTTAGGCAGGAATTTGTTTAAGGAGAAGAAACTGTTGCCAACACAAAACTTACACCTATAGTTGGTGAGTCGTGTAACTCTGTGTCAAGGAACAGCCCGGGGTCCAGAGTCCAGACATTACTTTACCCAAGAACACAATTAGATATCTCAACTGACACACACACCTCACCAATTGTTTTTACTGCGAGACAAAATGAAGAGGTGTAAAGGAAAATGATCAATGTTCCTCACTGCTGGGAATCAAACTCGGGATCAGGCGCCTGTGAGGTGAGGACGTTACCTGCTGAGTGATAGGATACTGTCATGAAGAGGCCGTCGTCAAAAGTTATAATTACTTATCTCTCTTAATAACAAAGTAGTGTCGACAATGGCTGTTCTAATAGAGTAAAATATCGTACTTTCTTTTATAGATATATAACCTCGACTCTTCAGGTGAAATAGTTGTGTTTACATCATCTAATAATATTCAGACAGTTTATAATAACACCAAGTAATGATACAGTCAATGATCTTACAGAGCTGCCCTAAAAACAATATTTATCCTTTTATTCTTTTCCTCCTAGATATGTAAACGTTGCGCCCTTGTTCATGCCGCCTGAAGTGAATTACCACGACTACCTTCACTGTTTTACTTGTAACAGAGATGCATGAACAGCCCCTTGATGTTTATAAAACCTATATTAACTATGTTTAGGTCAGTCACTCCTTGAAGCAACACATATTAAAACCAGTGATTATGTTAATGTAAACACTGTACTTTGTGTCGTTATTATTGTTTTTCGCCATTATTTAGAGGTAATAGTGATAATAGCACTGCATTAGTTGTTAGACAGAAATGGCATTAGAATTGGAAATAGTTAAAGCATAAATGTTTACTAGTTTATATTATTTTGATTATTAGGGTGTGATAATAAGGAATAAAAATGTTATTGTAGTTAGTCCCATCGTTACCACATTCCCAAACTGTAGTCCAGCACCAACCCCTAACGACCAACCTACTGCACTGAGTTATCTCCACTGTCTGAATCTCGGAGCAGCAAGACGTGAAACAGCAGCTCATGGCAGGACTTCCAGATGAGAAAGTAGTTCCACAAATAAGGGGCCATCATATGCAAATGGTCAATACAGTCTCGGGGTTGTGGTAGCGAGAGGGTTAAACATGACTATAGTACAGTATGTGTGTGTGTGTGTGTGTGTGTTTGGGCATCTCCAGCCTATTACTTAATAGAAGTTAGATTTGTATCGTGTGCGTTTGTCTGTCTTTGTGTATTTGTGAGCATGTACGTGTATATGTGCATATTTATTCATACGTATGCATGGTGTGGGAGGATATTGAGTATGTATATGTGTAAACTTGGAACATATCATCATACGTAATACATAAGGGTGACCTTTTTTTTGTGAGGAACTGCAGGCACTGATCACACTTACTGCAACACAACTCCATCACACTGACACATTTTGGAATCTCCTAACAGCTGATGTGCCCGTAAGATTATGATTGGACGCGACAGTCCCAGAGGAGGACGGAGACAGGGTGACGGAAGGTAGGGTGTGCGTCAATCGGCTGATGACGAGAACAGCTTCTAGTGCTGGGGCGCATCTTGTGAAACACCCCTCCTTTGTCTTTCACTATTTTCTAACGAGACTCCTTAACAAGATCTTTATTATTAAATACTATGACAAGTCCTCTAACCTCTGAGCAATATATTATCAAGCCTTCCCCCACTATTGATCTCCTAACTGATGGTAAACATGAAGATATAATAAGTAATTGGAGAGTCAGTACTTTCAAATGAGTACCTCAGTTCCACCACTTTATTCCACATTCTGCTTCATCAATACTATACTGTGAAACTTTTACTCTTTTTGTGTGTCATAAATACTAAACAAAATCTCTTCGCTGTTTCTTAAAAATTTAAAATATATTGATGGTAATTTTTATTCAGTACTTCTTAAATTCTGTAGATCTCCCTGCATGATATCTTCTCAATCTTCCCTAAAAAAATAATTCATGATATTTAAAAACATTTGGTTATCATCAATGGAGTTGTCACGCCTTGATTATTTTTATACTGTACAGGTGTTTGCTGTGTTAATTACTGTAGGGTATTTGTTGAATACATACCTACATGAACAAGCCATATATGTGTACATGTAGTGTATATTTATGTGGTCATGCACATAATTGTATTCTTCCATCAAAATACATTATACACATGCACACACGTACATGAACACACATATACAGTAAACATGAACAAACACACATACACATACATCATGAACATACACCCACACACATACACACCCACTCTCAAAAGTACACATAGAAATACACATTATCAATTTTTCCAATAATGTCATATATTTTTTATTCATTTATAACACTCGCCCCCTCCCCTCTCACTCAGTGCTAAGACATATTTGTTTGAGTTTTATTTTTTATTCATATTTTCGGGGCTAATGATGCATATTCTCTCAAGCATTTCCTTATATAAACTATTTAAGTTATTTTAAATGTTTTTTTTAAATTAATGCATTCTTGGGTTTTATATAAGAAATATATTTTTTTGTATTATAGTCTCCCTTGTCCACTATACAGTACAATACAGGCTGATAGTTTAAGTAATTTTGTAAGTAAATCCATTATAATGTTCTTATTTCGCTTTCTAGAAATTATTACCATATACCCTGCACTGAGTCATAAATTAACAGCATGTGTAGATGTATGATTCTTCTCCTTATTTACCTGTAACATTTGTTCGTTATCAGCATTATTATTGTTAGGTTAAGAGTGAGTTTTGCTATTCTCAGCCGTGTGGTAGGACTTTTCTCAGCCTTATATTTTACACGTCTTGCTTCTTCCAGGGACCGGTGTGATGGCGTAACAAGACCACACCAGTAAGTTATCCAAGAACCTGAAAGAAATATCGAGTGGACTTGATTACGAGAATGACATGAAGAGTGAGTCATGAACACTTGTAAACAGAGGTTGCTGCTGACGGTGGCTTAGTGTGTATAACCTTCCACAAACTCGAGTCAATAGTATAGAGCACAGTGTTTACTACAGGAGACAGTGGTGTGTGTGTTTATTTGTGTGTGTGTGTGCGTGGACGTTCACTTTAAGGCCGGGATCGGACCAGACAATAATAAGGCTTGTGAGTGGTACATATCGTGTGACCCAACACCCTGGAAGAGGGAGAGTGTCAGAGAGCCCATAGTCAGTACAGAACAGACCACATATCCAGGCTGCTGTCACTCACGACGATGGTTGGTTCTCGCAACATGCTACGCCCCCGCATCTATCTTATTAACATTATCCATGGACGAATATATTTTGTTTCTGGTAGATGTAAATTTGAAAATTATAATATGCCTTAAAGTGTTGGGTTGCTAAACTAGATTAATTGCAAATCATATGTGATGTACCAGAGAAATGCATTTCATATTGATAAGGCTCTGTAGGTACAGTTGTTGTGCTACATGTAAGACACACAGCAGAATATTACAGTACTCTATCAACTCACTATGATCTAAGGTCACTATGAATGCTTTAATTTGTATTGTACTATTATTATATAATACAAGAATACGATCCATTCCCCAGCTTTATTTAATGATGGTTGATGAAGGACATTTTCAACAAAGCAGAGTTGGATTTTTTAAGTGATGACCTCTAGTGCTAGGCTCCTCAATAAGGGACTGTGTAAGATAGTTTGATGCCGTGGATATTGTCAAAACTTACTTCCATTCTACAATGGAAATAAAAAGGCAGATACCTGTATTTTATTTAGAATTTTCATGGCAAAGTTTAGACATTTGTAAATTTCTATAAACCTCTGGCAGTGATATAGTACCACTGTAGACAATGGTACTACATCAGTTATGTGTGTCTCTACTCATAATTTACAAGGAGAAATTGTATAAAGAAAATCTTTCAGTACAGCTTCATATACAGTATACTGTACATATATCCTGCCCTCACACGAGTGAAGGATGAGATCTGTCAGTTAATATTTATACAGTACATGGATGTATTTAAGTCTCATCATTGATACCCGAGTCTAAGACAAAGGGTACATATTACAGCGTGATAAACTTTACATTTAACATGTATCGTATTAACAATTTCACCAACTGTTTTTCAACTTGAATCTCCAGGGCTTATGACTATTCTGTTTTACTGCAAAACTTTCAATCCCTCCTAAGTTTAGGGAAAACATTGTCAAATTTGTATATATATTAAAACACCTACAAAAGCTTATGATGTACATAGTAGCAGTGATATTAAAAGCAGCTAAAACAAAGCAGTTGTTGATAATATGTCTCCTGCTTTGGTCACACCTCAATCAAAACACTAGTTAAAACTTGCCCAAAGACTCAAGTACCTGAAGGATTCCAGATTCCAAGTGAAATGTAAACACACAAAAGGTTCTGTAAGACTTTTGGCATCTTAACTCAGCCAATTGGTCAAGTTTCACTCAACAGGTGAAATTAATTTACTGCATTTGTCTGTTTTTGTTTAACCTTTACCTTTCCAGCATTTTTCTTTATAATATTTACATGTGAAGATTAAATCAGTTTAATAATTCTTAGTTTTTGAATCACTGAAAGCACTTGGTAATATAGAAAACTGAGACATTTTATATTGTATTCAGAATTTGTCATGTTAAGAATTTATAAGTTAATGTAACCTTTCCTCTTAGATATTCATCATCATCACCGTCATCTTTCAGACTGTCTTGCATTAGACATTTAAATACTGTCCTGAATTTTATCTTAACAGTTATGATCATGCAGATTTTGGTCATAAAAAAGCTAAATTTATTACACCTCAAAATTCAGACCAATAAAAAAATTTATTACTCTTGCACAATAAAAGACATAAAAGGCAACAGGTATAATGGAAGTGCCACATTTGTCAGACAGTACTGTGTATCTCTTGCTTTTGCCTGAGGACATCACTTGCCTCAAACCCATTACTTTATACTCTCTTAAACATACTGCATACTTATTTTCAAGGTTAGGATTTTTCCTGGGTACTTGTGACAACTTAGGACTGAGAGGTGTAGAAGTCTTGACACTAGCACAAATCTTCACACTTGAGTGGATGATAGACCTGTGTATGTTACTGTAGTACTCAACTCTGACTTCATACTCTCGGCCAACAGCCACTATTTCCTCAGTATCAAAACCTTTCTCGCTCTTTTCATTGCATTACCATCTGGATTGTTTTTCTGGTTTTTTTGTCACCTAGCATAGTTAAAGGTGCACAACACATTTACCGTGCAGCGGCTGAGACAGATCAACAGTGTGGGCGCCAACCAGTACAGTACAGTAATGGCCAACATTAAGCTGGCTGCAGCATACACCTAGTTCAGACTCAAACCTGGGGATCAATTTTTTCTTCTGCATTCAATAAATCGGTGCTGTATTATTATTTTTAGTGAATAATATAATCAACATTGAAGAAACTTGTATAAGACAAGGCTTGACTACAGTACTCACACTTTCATAAATAATCTGGTGTTCATAAGTTTATTTTAGAAAGAGGAGATATATATGATAGTCAAATACCCACTGCAAAATAGCCAACATTGTGACCTTGAATAAATCGCCACTTGCCTTGGACATTATTAAAAACAAAACTACTGTACTAATTTAAGGATGATTTTCATTTAAGAAACAGTGGGCCACATCATATAAGTTGCTAATTATGTAATGCCACTTGCTAATTATATAATGCAACTTGCTAATTAGATAATGGCACTAGCTAATTATTTAATGACACTATTGCTCATTACATAATGGCACTATATATATTTGAGGGTTATTTGGGTTTAGTAAAGGCATTAGAATATGAGGAAACAGATAGCAAGTGCTAAGGAATTATTCGTCTTAATAAAAGGGTAACATCAGGTACATAAGTTAACACCAAAAGACTGAATATATATCTAATCCCTCATTTATCCTTTCAATATTAGTTTCAAGTTATATATAGTGTATGGAGTTGCTTTATGGGTTGTGGATATGGTACCTGTCATGGTTGTTGGTGGCTACGGGAAACACCTGTTGTGTATTTTTTTTTTATGGGATAAGTTAATGATCCAGAAAGGTATAGCATAAAGCCTCTGTTCTACCATTTACAGATAATTAATAGGTTACCCAGTCTTGGCTTCCTCTGTACTGTATGTGTGTGTGTGTCCTACGAATAAAGGAAAAAGAACAAGAAAGTGCATCCCCATCCTCCTAGATAGAAGCTATGTATTTCTAGAGACATCACCCATCCTTGTACCCTCCCCAGGTAAAATCCTAGATCTAATTTTAATATTTGAAGTATCATTTTTGTTAGTAATGATAAGACTAAATATCCCATGAATTATAAAAACAAAAATTTGGAATCTGTAATAGTTCAGGTACTGTACATTGCATGTTAGATACTGCAATTCTGTAAGGGTTACTGACTACTGTATAGCCAGAACTTGTACAGAGCTTACCTGAGCAAGCGTGAGTTGCATACTTCAAGATGGCCTACAAGAAGCTGTGAAAAATAAAGTGTCAATTATTGCTTACAGATGACAGTTATGGTGGGGTTGTAAGCTGTAGGTTTATGAACACGGTGATATAGTGTTATGAAATGAATGTAAATCTTTAGTGTAAGAATATTGAAAACGTCAGTGAATGGACTTGGAAGTGATACAGAGATGCACATGTATTTATTGTCAAGGTTCTGGTCATGTGCTTTGCCTTAAGAATATTTATACACAAGAAAAAATGTATTTTAAAGAAATATCAGTGAAACATAAATTTTGCTTTAGTAGTTCACCATTACAGAGTTAGTTAACATTATATTAAAATTTTAACTTGTGTATCAATAATAAATTTTATGATTATAACAAGGAGAGAATGAATTAAGTTATGATACTCTTTAAAAAAATATATATTTTTTGCAAAGTAAATATCATTACCATTTTGTTCGTATGTTTAGTTAATATCTTCAAAATATTTTTCCGTGTATGATTTCCTTGTTACTTGTTTTCATTTTTAAGTCTTACGGTGAAGTTTCTCACGAGCAAAGTTTGCAAAATTTATGTTACATTGAATATTTGTCTTTGCAAATTCTGCATTACAAGTGTTTATATTGTTAGGGATGAAGTCATATTTTATCTGGCAGGTTTATATGTTAGGACAATGAATTAGAAATATTCAAGTTGAAATTTGTTATTGGTGATCCAAGAAGTTGTGTCAACCGGATACGCTGAAGCTTTTGTTGTTTCTTGAAGATGTACCGTACATGCTACAGAGCTGCATAATTTGCTATAAGTTAGGTGTACTAGTCTGCTCCATTATGTATGAATGTACAGTACTATATACAGTTTCCACAATAGCAGTCAGGTGCAGATACAACACCTTCCTTATCATGTTGTATATCGCAGGTGTTTTGTATGTTATATACTATGTTAATGTTAATAATATGGCCTTAACATACGGCCTTCCACTTACAACAGAGAACTACCATCAACTTGGCACTAGGACACAACATTCAAGAGACTTTGTGGTTACCCTTGAACCATAACAGGGAAGAACTACACTGGATATCTCAACAACTATAGTAGCCCAAACTAAATGGCAGAACCAATTGATTTATTATCGATACAATTACCATCAGTGTGTGTGAGTGGCAGGGATGGTAAGAAGTCACGTAACAACTGGAGTGGTAAAGATGTGTTACCTGTCACTCATGATCTGTGCTATGGTATATTGTTGACTTCATTCAGGACACCATAAAGAGCTTATAATTAGTCACAAGGATTAGACAACTGATGAATGGAAATTAATAAATTGTATTTAGTTGTACAGTTAGCTTAAAATATTCTGCTGCTGAAAACAAGCAATTAAATACTGTCATTATTATTATTATTATTCATATTAGTATTATTATCAGTGTCATTATCATCATTACTATTTTTATTGCTGTATTATTAATGATTGTTATCAAGTGTACAAGGAATATATATATATACAGTATAGCCATGCTTATGTATAGTAATGTCCTTTATTACCAGCAAGGGGAAACCTGGAGTCTAGGATATAGCATGGACATTAACCTCCACAATGGGACTGCTGGCATGTAGTAGTGTCAATTAACTCCACAGCTGCCCAACTCACCCATGTATATAGAGAAGAATTTACACTTTCTCTTTTCATACATCTGATAACTGCCATAAATGCTGTCTAGAATATATAAAGTGTTACACTGTAGAATGTACAAACAGAATAGAAATAATGAATTGAAGATCCTCTGCTGTAACCAGTTTCTGAGCTATCCTCTGTAGATTGGTGGTGGAGGAGTAGTGACATAAAGTCCTCTTGCTACCCACCAGATGTGAAACAACTAGGGCGAGCCTCTGATAATGTTCCACACTTAATATCCATCCTCCTACAGGTGGTTAACTGAAAGACTCAAGAATTACTCTTAAGATGTTGGATAAATGTAATGTGCATACACGTGGGAGTTGACTTCCATGAATCTTTTACCAGCTGCAGCTCCAAGGTCAGTGGGCCGACGACACAACACTCAAATCTTTTCTCCTAATCATCCAACATTTTACATTTCCCACATTTGAAATATTTAACTCTCTGTGTACACTCCTAGTTGTACTATATCATGTGCTGTACATGAATGTACTTCTTGTAGCTTAGATGTCAACAGTACAGTATTACCATTGTTTGTGAGCCCTGTCTTTGGAATGAATCGTCATTTACTCCAAGTGTTGACAAATTCACATCTTACGACATCATTACTAATAAGGCGACCGGTTAAATTACAGGTCATAAAACACACTCAGATTAAGCATCCAATGGCAGGTCTGAAACATTTTTTAAACTTGACCGGCATTAGTTTTTGTAAACCTCATTAAGATTTCATATGCTTTCCACTTTTCTACTTATTAAGGATACTTTTTTGGTACACTGTATGGAAATTAATTTACAAACATTTTTATACCCAAAACAATTAGAGAAGTGCAACAATGTGGGCCCTCATAGAAGATTGGTTTAGGGCTCTGTTCCCCGGCACACTCAGGTCACTAAGAGATTCAAAATGCATGTACTACAAACTTATGTATTCAGCTAACATTTTCCTCACTGTGTTCACTCTACACTTCAAGATAAGGTCATTGTGTACTATACATCGCAGATAAATTGAAGTCATATTTAATAGAGTGTAAATGTGGACAATTGACCACAAGGGTTAAGTACATGGGTAGGTAGTATAAATGCATTCAGATGGATTGATTTAAGTGTGTTATGGACCCAAGCCTTAGAGTGTCTTCTGTTCTGAGAATGAGTGCCTCTCAAACCTCAATGTACCGTATATCACTAGAATACAAATATGTAAGGCAATGTATTTGTGAACTCTGATGGTTTGATTGACAATTAGTTGTTGTTGTATTGCCATGAATGGTTATGATTTTAAAGATATTTATGTACAAATAATTTAAGTTTTTATGTGGCGAGGTGGTGCTATGTGTGTATGGCAATGTATTATACGAAGCCAATAAAATGTGAGGTCTCCTGTGGATTTGATTAACATATTCATTTGTTTACCTGCTTTTAAGAGGGGTTCTGTAAATGCCTGGATGAAAAAAAGGCCCCCAGTGACTGGAAAATGGCTAATGTGAGTCCTATCTTCAAGAAGGACGATCGTCACTCCATGAACAACTATAGACCGGTGAGCCTGACCAGCATAGTATGTAAAGTAAGGTATTTGAGAGCATTATCAAAGATGCCGCGATGGAACATCTACTACGAAACAACCTTGTAAAGAATTGCTTTACACAATTGCTCAAGGTACTGTATTGGACATTTGGACCCATATTCTGGAACGGGGTGGTAATATCGATAATATTTACCTAGATTTTGCCAAAGCTGAAAAACAAACTGGAAGGGTACAGGTTTCGGGGAAATGTCCTAGCGTGGATAGAAGACTTTCTACATGACCGCAAGCAGGGTGTGGTGGTTAATGGCGTGAAACCATCATCCGTACCTGTCACGATTGGGGTACCACAGGGCAGTGTATTGGGCCCACTGTTGTTTGTTTGCTTTATAAATGACGTGCCTGATGTACACTCCTCCATACAAATTTTTGAGGATGACACCAAGTTATTTCGGGAAATCAAGAACCAATCAGACTGTGAAGAGCTGCAGAAGGACCTCTGTGGGCTCCAAGAATGGTAGAAGAAATGGCTGCTGAGATTCAATGTCACGAAGTGTGAGAGGATGCACCTGGGGCATACCAAAGATAAGGAGGCGTATCATATGTCCCAACGGGATGAAGAAACTGCACTATTTGAGACAATGTGAGAAGGACCTAGGTGTGTATGTTGACAATGAGCTGAAGTCTCGGGCCATTGCAAGAAGAAGGTAAAACAGACAAATAAATTATTAGGTCTTATAAAAAGGTCGTTCAGATATCTAGAAGGTCTGTCCTTCGTAACAATCTTCAAGAGTGAAGTGCTTCCCCATCTGGAGTACTGTCACCCCATCTGGTCCCTGAGATATGCTAGGGACTGTCAGTTGGTTGAAAATGTACGAAAGAGGGCCACCAGATTGGTGCCTGCACTTCAGCACCTCAACTACCCTGAAAGATTGGAGCGCCTGAACTTGCCTAGCTTATACTACAGACGGGCAAAGGGCGACCTAATTGAGGTGTAGAAGCATCTCAAGGGGCACTAAGTCGAGTGTCCTTACCTGGAGCTGGTGGACGCTTGCCGCACAAGGGGTCACAGCTCAAGGTTGAAGAAGCCTCGGGTCCAGAAAACTGTGAGGGCAAACTTTTTCGAAGTGAGAGTTGTGAACTCTTGGAACAATCTGCCAGAAAGTGGTGCGGTGGCACCGAGTGTGAGCTCTTTCAAGACCAGACTTGATCAACACTGGAGCAGGTTCAGATACATTCAGGAGCCGGTGCATGCCCAGTACTTGCCAACAGTGCGTGACAGAGACGTGATCGATCTCCCAAGCGGCTAACGAGCCGATCAGTGGTGAAGAGGATGAAAGTAAAAGTAAACATCAAGGTTCTGGACATTATTAAGAATAATGTGTCGTCATTTCGTGCCTGGCAGACTGATCAGGGAATTATACAACTGGCATTATTGTGCAATGAACTAATAAATCTGCAGCAGCTTGGTCCTGACACATACACACACACACCAGAACCTGCTTTAACATGTAGTGTGTGGTATTTAACCTGTGCTACCACATGTAGTGTTTGGTATTTAACATGTACTACCACATGTAGTGTTTGGTATTTAACCTGTGCTACCACATGTAGTGTGTGGTATTTAACATGTACTACCACATGTAGTGTTTGGTATTTAACATGTACTACCACATGTGGTGTGTGGTATTTAACATATACTACCACATGTAGTGTGTGTGGTATTTAACATGTACTACCACATGTAGTGTTTGGTATTTAACATATACTACCACATGTAGTGTGTGTGGTATTTAACATGTACTACCACATGTAGTGTTTGGTATTTAACATGTGCTACCTGCCATTTGTACCGTTGTCACAGCTAAAGGTGTAGATATACTTTAATTTTTTACATTAATTAAAATAATCTGAAGAGACAACGTTTCTTAGCATATAGTTATTCTACTTATTAATGTGTGCAACATTTTTTAATTAACTATATTCAATAACAGTAAACTAAATGTCAACAGACTCAGATTTATTTTAATGTGATTCAAAACAACTGAATATACAGTTACTATTGTTTTGTATCACACAGTGAAGAGTTCCAAGAGAAACAAGATGTCAGCAGAGATAATAAATGTAAACCGTTGTGATGTAGACCAAAATGACATGAGCGGAATAATTTGGCCCAATAATTATCCAACACTGGAGCAGGTTCAAGTACATTCAGGAGCCAGTACATGCCCAGTACTTGCCAACAGTGCGTGACAGAGACGTGACCGATCGTCCAAGCGGCTAACGAGTCGATCAGTGGTGAAGAGGATGAAAGTAAAAAAGTGTCTTGTCTGTAACTAACCCTCACACCGTGACTCATACCACTCGTCACACCATCTGTAAGATGTACAAAACTTTCCTAACACGTAAAACTTAAAATTTATTTCGTTAATTTTAAAAACATTTGTAATATAAATCTAAAATTTCCAGCATGGTGCTTGAATTAGCGTTTTTAGGCCTGGGCGGGTACTTGGGGGCATACGCTGCCCAGAAGCTCAACGGAGCCCTGCCAGAGGTGCCTGGAATGTTGGCCTTGGCGCTCAAGGCGAGAGACTTCCTCTACAGGGACGACAACCACCAGGACCCTCAGACGCAGGGCCAGGACAACTCCAAGAAGTCCGCTGAACATGACTACAAAAGCTTCACCTGGTACTCCTGTTATGAATGATTGACTCGTCATTAGTTCTATTGAACTATAAGCATTTGCTTTTATTATTTTTCTTTTTGAGTGTCATTTTATATGGACGTGTGGAGAGGAAGACTCGTTCTCTTCACACATACATTGTCATGCGTTTTGTGGGCGCTGTAGCATAATATGAATAATTAAGTGTTGAACGGACTACTGCACAAACGTGACCATGACATCACAACATTAACTACACCTGCACTCTTAGGGAGAAGGGGTCCATCCCTCAATTTAGACGTATTTTTAATGAGGCCATACCACAATTGGGGGGTCGACCTCCAAGGGGCCAACCTCTGAAATTAGACCTTCCTGACACCTCTGGAATGTGTGTCTCCATGCCAAGTTTCAGCTCTTATTAACCGGATGTTGCGAATGGATACACACACACAGCATATTATATTATATGACTAGATATTATACTAGATTCTTACTAACATTTCTAATCTAGCGACTTGAGCTATGGTGTAATGATCTTGTGGCAACACTGACACACAACACTGACACACACGGCGGGAAGGATCACCCACATGTTCTTCTCAACCTTCTCTTTTTTATAACAGGTCAGTGGCTCCAGTTACCGACTCATATTATAGAATTATCATAAAGTAATTACAGCAGCACTAAACACCCTCTTTACAACTGACATCGTCCATAAGGTAGTTATACAGTATTAGTGTATATATTGTTCCGTCTGACTTGTTTTGAATTGTAGTAAACATTCATGCAGTATAAGCATATGTACATATAAAAACTTACATAAAATAACGCATAAAAGACATAAAATTGTAAACAGTTATTTCCAGTGTAGGGCTACAGGCAGGATGTCAGCCGTCCTCATTGGTCCAGCTTTTACTCACAGATATTGACAGAGTTTTGCATGTAGCTCACCTATTTTCTAATTTTCCACTAACTATGTACTGAAGGCGAATCCCAGGAACAGGAACAAGTTTTGAATGAATTGCTTATGTGTCGGCTCAAAAACAATAAACCTTTGTTACTTTATTTCTTAAAATTTAGGCAGTGGATATAACGCTATTTGGTAAATTTGCATTAGTGCACACAACTCTGTTAGAAAATCAAAACTATGTTTTTTGTGTTTTGATTGGTTTTGACCTTGATTTCCATCGCAAATTGCCTGTTTTTTAGGTATTAAGTTTTTTTCGATGGGGTGTTTTCTGACAAAACCCATGCCCACGCCAATACAAAATACACCAAGAAACACTAGAAAAACATATAAACCGAACCTGACCTAACCTAACCAAACCTAACCTAACCTGTCCTAACCTAACTGGCCTGGTTCTGATTCGTCGTCGGATTTACTACAATGTCAACCATGTTGGTCTTGACGATATTTACATTCGTTCTTGCACTTCGGATACTTTACTGAGGTCGGGAGAACACCATGAGATCTAAAAAATGATATAGCTTGTTCGTTTTTTTTCCCCATCCACAATCACCTAGCAGACTTCCATGGTCGGAAATGAATTTGAATTTCGAAATGTGAGATCCAAAATCACAAATTAATCTGATTGGGCAAAAAATACTGCAAATTAAACCACATTTAATTTTAATTGCCCCCCCCTCCCTCCTCCCCCCCACCACCACCACCAAACGCTTTTGATTGGCCACGTGACGTGTGTGGGTTACGCATCCTCGTGACGATTTATGAAGAAAACACGCTGAGTGGGAGGTCGGGTAGGCGATAATAGCGGAAGATTAATGGAAGAAAATAGAGAAAGATTTGACATGTGCTATGCCCGTTATTATACGTTTGCGACGGTAATGTGATACAAAATAATTATCTTAAAATTAGATTCTTTTTCGAATATGATAATAGATTTGGGGTAGGAATATTGTGTGCACTAATGCCAAAAAAAACCGCTATTTTACCATGAGTACACTCTTATTAGCTAATCGTTCATTACCGGCAAACAATGCGAGAACTATATTTGACTGTGACTCTGGTGGCATTTGGCATTTATTTCGCTGTGAGTCAATCGTTGTGTAGCTGTAAACACACCTAACCATATTTCTGTTGAGCATGGAAACTTATTATAAAAAAGGCGACATTTACTAGAGTCTAATAGAACCTGACCTAACCAACCAATGAAACCTACCTAACCTTACCTAACTTCCTAGCCAGGGGGGAGGGGGGGAAAGACAATCAAAGAGCACTCACAGTAAAATAGTGTTTGTAGGAACTTAGCCGGTCACAGCAAAATATCCATTACATAAAATTTATGCAATGAATATTTTGCCATAACCGGCCAAGTTCCTACTAATGCTTTATACCGTGCATTGTCATATTGTTTTTATTAATATCATCCAAAAAACATCTGTGGAAAAAATTAATGAAATCGAACTACTCCTTCTGGTGGTACAGGTAGTACTGTTCTCAGACATTACATTTAGAATTGCTCAGAACTGTCAGTAATGGATGGAAGGGTAGATATTTAGGTAACATTGCAGTGAACAGCAACTACAGAATTCCGGAAATTCACTACACTCAATCGATAGAGCTATTTTTTCTATGATCATTTTCTTATAGTAATATCTCCGTTAGCCGGAATCCTTCAAACCCAGAACTCTCCGATAACCGGAATTAAAGTTTTCTCGGAAAATCGTTCCTAAAGCTGAAATTTTCCAGAAAATTCCGGCTTTGGGAACAATTTTCCGAGGGGCACATTTTCCCGAAAATTCAGAGAATATTTTCCTGACACACGGAAAACTCCAGGGATGGGGGATTTTTTTCCCGGGTTTGAGAGATGAAAATTAGGCGCATTCTCTGTAAATTCAGAGAAAAATTTTCCAGTACCTGGAATATTCTGGAACATTCCGGGGATGTGGGATATTTTTCCAGCTTTGAGAGAGTCGTCTCCTTACCCGGAAATCTCTCATTCCTGGAAGTGCTCTGCACCAATTGTTCCGGGTAATGGAGATATGACCGTATTACATTAGGTTAGGTTAGGTAACACATTTGGCGATGACATTCATCTTTTCAAGTTCAACAAGCTTCTTATGAACTTTGTGTTTGATACTGATAGGCACTCGACATGATGATATTACAACTGGAGTTGGTGATGAATCTAGAGTTAACTTAACAACATCAGGGAGTTTTCCTACTGCTTCTGAAAACACATCACTAAAATCTGAGATTACATCTTGAACTACACTTATGTTCTCATAATTTACAGTAATCAAATTCATTTGCTCTGATGCTCGCTTGCCCAAAATTGGCACAAAATCTTGCTCTAGAACAATGAACTCTACTGAATATTTTTTCCTGTTTTTTTTATTAGTGATGACAATTCTATGCTTTACCAATGGGCTTATTTTTGTTGAATTTCACATGATCAACACTTTATCACGAGGTGTTAATTGCACATTAGGTACGATATGGTGAGGAATTACAGTTACACTTGCACCACAGTCAACTTGGAACTTCACTTGCATACCACCTACCTCCATAGACGTTATGATTGCCTTGTCGTTGCTCCGTGCTGCAATCTTCATAAAGAACTGGGCATCTGGATCCTCTGCGTCTTCGTCCTCTTGAATACAGTACCTCTAACTGTGCTCTTTGCTGTTGCGCTGCACTTAATTGCGAAATGATTAATTTTGCCACACTTGCTACAGGTTTTGTCATTTGCTGGGCATACTTCTTTCTTCCAGACGTGCTTACGGCCACAGAACTTGCATTCTCTCAAGTTCAGGGGCTTGCTCTCGGTTGTGTTCTCACGGAGTTTCTTCACTTCACTCTTCTTCTTCATATGCTTCTTCTGAGTCACCGTGTTGACAGCTGCTGGACCCTCGTCTAGAAACACCGCCATCTGTTTCTTTGATTCTTCATGGGTCACAATATCTTCAGAGCTGCACTAAAACTGAGGTCCTCTTCTTTGAAGAACTTCTCACGAAGGGAATCTTCTTGGCATCCAAATACTAGTTGGTTTCTCATTTCGTCTTCTCTCTGGTCACCATACTCGCATTCCTTGCTTAGAATCTTGAGCTTTGTGATAAATGAATCCAGGGGTTCTCTGTTTGTTGCACACACTTTCTGAATTTATACCTGTCAGCCAACACATTCCTTCTTGGTGCAAAGTGTGCATCAAACTGTCTAGTACATTCTGCAACACTTTGGCTGAGTCTGGGTACCACTAGGTTTAGGGAACTCAAATGAATTGTATATATCAAGCAACTCATCCCCTCCCATGGTTAACAGAAGTGCAACTTTTTCCTCATCAGACCTCTTCTTGAAGCCTGCAGCCAATACATAGAGGTCAAATTTTCGCTTAAAGGTCTTCCATGTATGTTCAGTGTCACCTGTTAGGCTTAACTTGCTGGGAACTGTGAGTGCTGAAGCTGCCATGTCGCTGCACTGACGCCCGCCTCTACTTGCCTCAGACCACTGGAACTGGAGCCTTACTTTATGCCTCTATACCTTGTGCTGAGAGTTAAACTGCTTTTAGCGCTGCCACCATGTTGTGATGTCGTAGTACAGGGTATTCTTGTTTTACATGGCCATAATACTCGAAGGGTAGAGAGACACAACTTAACTCTGCAGTTTTACTCGAGAGAAGCCGTCGATTAGTTACAGTATGATGTAAACAAACTGAACATAGAAAGCGGACAATGGTGAACTATAGCACACTTACATAACTAAATTTCAATATTGTTACACCTCTCACAATTCATCAGAAACAAGACAACAAATTGTATCGAAATGTAGAAAAAATGTGTGAGTATCCTCAAGTGAACTCTGTGTTTTGTTATTAAAGTTGATTTGGTTGGGATGCCATACCGCAATTTTTTCGTCTTAAAAATTACTGTCTATAGAACGAATGGCTCTCTGTCCCGGCCGTGAAAATGCCAGCAACTTTAAAACTACTCGCAGACATTCTTGGGTACGTCCAGGGTGTCATCCATTAATAATTGAGGACCACGATTAAAAATCCGCTAATTATCAGGGCATGCTGTATAATGTAATAATAATAATAATACAGTAATAAAAATACAGTAGCTGTAATAATGTTTGCTTGAATTTGGTATATACAGCAGCCACAAAGTCTGGATAGCATAATGAGGTAGCCAATTATTTCATTAAATCTTGTGGTTTAACAACACAAGTTTGTACTGTAGTCCAGAACCCATTACTGAACTTATTTTCCCATAAATTTGTTATTAATTTCTTTTTGGGAGCTCAATATCCACAGCATTCTACTGGAACATAACACCAAAGGTATTCTGTATTGGTGAACGAGGATCCTGTGAGACATTAAGTGTGACGTCACACACAAATTATATGAGTGGCTGAAATCTTAAACTCACCAGAAAAATTTTCATTTGTGGTAGACATTTTGTTGAATATTTCATAAAGTTATCCATTGATTGTTACTTGCTCCCCAATTAAGTTTAACATTTTTTGACCCCTTATATATGTTTGGTGTATTTGACCACGTTAGTTACTGCTTTAATATGTTGCAGGGTTTATATTTGCACCTTGGAACCTTCAGTAAAGTTGGTGGGGGACTGTATTACCAGGCAAGATGGGTGCAAAACAAGATGACACCTTTCGCATTCTTGTGGCAACTGACAACCACATTGGGTATGCTGAAAATGATCCAGAGCGAGGTAAGTGCTGGCAGTTGTAGATATCTTCCTAACAAATAGTAGACCTAACCTAACCTAATGAAAATTTGTAGGCAGTAGAGTATTACAAGTCATTTTACATCTCTTTACTTGGTTAAGTAAAAAATATTTGACAAGATGTAATTTAGTTTGTTCTTCATTGTAATTTAGATTGGCTAATTACTGTACTGTTAGACTTTGTGCTGCAGTATTTGAAGCTGTTAAGGTATATATGGGAAGTGTTCCTCTGGGAGTCCTGCATAATGTTCAGTAATACTGCTTATTAAATCATTGTACAGTACAGTGTGTGGTTGGAGGGTTCATTTTTTTTAAGTCAATGAGTCGGTAGCAAAAGAAATGGTATATTAATTTGCTGTAAGTTTGAATGAGTAAATTGTTGCAGATCTCTGAACATGTTAAAATCAAATAGAGTATCATATCATAAAGCTGTGAAATCTGACTTCTACACATTAAGACCCTACCATTTTTTATAAAGCCCCTCACTCCTTTGGCCCACCTTGACTAAATCCTAAGTTGATCTCTGTTAATTGATACTAATTGTTTTTGATCACTACAGGCGACGACAGCTTAGAAACCTTCGAAGAAATTCTCCAGATGGCAGTGGAACAGAAAGTGGATTTTATTTTATTAGGGGGTGATCTCTTCCATGAAAACAAACCGTCTCGCCAGTGTTTGGTGCGCTGTATGGACATGATTAGGAAGTACACTTTTGGTGATAGGTAAGGATAAGAAAAAGACTGTAGTAATGTGTTAATGATAGAATAACAGGACAGTATGTTCATATATCCAGTTGATTGTAAATTTTTTATTTTTGTTTATGTCTCCTGGAGGTACAGTATTGTATTGGTGTATTTTATTGTATATTCTCAGTCACATATCCCAGTTCTTGTCCAGCTTGTATATAAATTTTAATTTCTTCCAAACACAAAATGTGCTGACATAAAACCTCACAAGAAGATACTGTAGTGTTCTGTATAGCTAATAGATTTTAATTATACAGTACAGAGTCTTAGTTAGTTTTGTGGTGTGAAGTAATGTAGGTCCAGACTTACTGACTTATACATTTACAGACTTCATTCACCAGTCAGACTTTCACCTTCTTCACTCCTCCATGGTGAATAATATACACCGTTCATTCTCTGCTGTGGTAATTTTTCGCTCAATAATTAACTCTTAATCGGCGGCTGAGGATCCTCCCCCCCCTCCACCCACCTGTATTATGTAAAGTAATGGAACAAGAAGTATGATGAAGGCTGCTCTCCCTACAGCTAATGTCCTCTGATGATGGTCGTCGTTAAATAGATGGCACCTTTCTTTTATTTGTTTAGGTGTATTCTTCCCCACCCTCCTATATTTTTAGGGCCTATTTTGTTTTCTTTTATTTGTAGGCCTATTCTACCCTCTTCCTTTATTTATTTGGGCCTATTCAACCCATCTTTTACTTTTCTGAGGCCTATTCTACCCCTCTCTTATTTTTTTTTAGCCCTGTTCTGTTTGACTTCATAAGTGATCCGGTGGAAAACTTCAAGCATGCCAAGAACCCGACGGTCAATTATCTGGACCCCAACCTGAATATTGCCATCCCGATCTTCTCAATCCACGGCAACCATGATGATCCATCAGGTGAGTTGCCTTACTACAGTATATATGTATATTCTCTCAATCAGTCCATCAAGTCAATCAATGAAGTGAGTCCTCCTTCCCATCCATGAACTCTGAGACTCATGAACCAGTGAATCCAAGACATGAGACATTGTTGGTGCACTGTGTGATGTATCGGATTCACAGGTTCATGGATGGGACACAGGACTGACAGGACTTATTTCTGTGACTGTACATTAGGTTGCTTATGTGTACAAAGCATTGTTGTAACCAGTCCCCTTGTTAATGCACGTTGGCAGAAGTGAATTATTTAGAGGTTGTGTCCTTCATATCTAGCCAATAGCTCTTTAGATCACTCGTCTTATTCAAACCATGTCCTTTAATAATTGGTTGTAAAGGTTAAGAATTTAATGCAATTGTTACATTGTATAGAGTATTGTATGTAACTTATAAAAAAAAGTGTTGTTATAAAATACCAAAGGAAAATGACAGGCTAAGTAGAAAGGTGACCTATCTTTATTTATGTGATGTTAAGATCTTCCTTTTATACTTTCTACAGGTCCTGGCCAGTTTTGTGCTCTGGAGATGCTTTCAGTAGCAGGGCTGGTAAATTATTTTGGAAGAACCACAGATCTTCAGGAAATCAAGATTTCTCCATTATTGTTGGAAAAGGGACAAACCAAACTGGCCATATATGGTCTGTCCTCCGTCAAGGATGAAAGACTCTTTAGGCTGTTTAGGGAGAATAAGGTAATGTATCAATGGACTGAAAACTTGGTTATTGAAGGCATGAGGGAAAAAGTAGCTACGTAAGAAACATATATGTAGGGAATGGTACTTTATATGTTTTCTAATTTATTGAATTGTGACAGTTTATTTAGCCAGAAAAATACAGATACAGAGTGGATAATAATAACAATATTAACATGGCTGAGCCAGTTGAGAACCTGAGCTCTCTTTGAGGCACCTGATATATACTATACATTTATCTCAAGGAAGTATTATGTAACATTTAGTATCATCTGGAATAGTACAATAGCATGGTAATAATAAGTACATCTCATAATGTTACCACGGTTATCACTTCAATATTTATTTATTTTATTATTTATTATTTTTATTTATTTATTTATTTATTATTTTTTTTATTTATACATACATATACACATACCTATACATATATACACATATACACACATATATATATATATATATATATACATATATATATATATATACATATATATATATATATATATATATATATATATATATATATATATATATATATATATATATATATATATATATATATATATATATATATATATATATATATATATATATATATATATATATATATATATATATATATATATATATATATCTCTTGATAAAATCACACGGGAAAATGGAAACAACGGAGTACCTTAGCTTTCATCTTTATTCAAGACATCTTCAGAGGCAACTGGATTACATGGACAGAGAGAGGCTTAAATATACAGGGTGACCTAAAAACATGAGGTCAGGTCATAATGATGACATCCACTAATCCCCACACCAACACACACGTAGAGGAGCTTAAGAGAAGGGTGGTGACGTGACTAGTCAGGTCAGGTCAAAAATAAGGGACCCACAAAATAACTATCATACATCTAGATCAAAGGTTTTCAAAGCATTTTTAACCTTGGGCCACTGACAAATAAATTTATGAAACATATTATCAGTTTTGAACTGACCATCACAAAGGTTTATTGATTTTAATTCCTTAATCAAACTAGCTTCAACCAGAAGTCTTTCTGTGACACAAGATGATTTGAATACTTCTAAGCTCTTTTCCCATACATACATACATACAGTTGTACCCCGCTTTACGCGGTCAATTGAACCCACAGGGTACCGCGTTAAGTGAACAACAGAACATATGGGATTAATTCCAATAGAGACTGGCCCGACCCCCAAACTCCACTTTTTGACGACACACAACTATGTTGTAGTAAAAATTTTATCTTAACTTTATGATGGTATGAACAAACAAGTAATATAGAAGAGGTTAGGTTAGGAAAAATATAGGTTAGGTTAGGAAAACTAAAAGTTAGGTGTAACACTTATGTTAGTAGAAGAGATGGGTCGGCATACGGGGATGGAGGTGGAGGGGAGGGAGGGAGGAGGAGGAGGGAGAGGCGAGGCAGGCGGGAGCGGGTGGCGAGTGGGGCGAATCTAAAAATAGCGTCTCGAGCCGGACACTCTGCGCGTATATGGGTAGATGGACCGCGTTAAGTGAAAGTTTGGTTCTGGCGAGGCACCACGTATATGAGAAATCGCGTTAAGTGAAACCGCGTAAAGCGGGGTACAACTGTGTGTGTGTGTGTGTGTGTGTGTGTGTGTATATATATATATATATATATATATATATATATATATATATATATATATATATATATATATATATATATATATATATATATATATATATATATATATATATATATATATATACATACACATCCACATATACATATATATATAATATAATATATTATTATTTT